ATATATATATATATATATATATATATACTCCACTCCTCCTGAATCTTTACTAAACCGACTCAGCTCTATGAAGTCCGATCCCCTTCCCCCCGTTACTACCAAGATCAGCAAACTCCTGTATCGTCATATTCGAAAGCCACCGGATCTGGTCAAGATCTGCTCGATTGTCCACAAAATTCTGCCCCTCTCTTCCATCATTCATTTTGTCTTCATTTCCATTTTCGTTTACTTCCTGAGCCTTGGAGAAACGTTATGATCTTTCTCGTTCTCAAATATGGCGGCCATTACGATCTCAACAATTATCGCCAACTTTTCCTTGCCCCTATTATTTCAGAAATAATGAAAACCATCATTGTTGATGAACATAACTAAAACTTTGAACATGAAGTAGTCCTGAGCATGCACAAATACAGATTTTGACCACGTTGTTCCATGGGCGATCTGCTAGCCCCGGTTTTCACCATTGATCTAATTTAGTTCATAAGCCCCAGAGAATCCTACATGATCTCACTTGATACCTCGAAAGAACTGGACTCTGTTTGGGATTAAGGGCTACCGGTGAAACTAAACAAAATTGGTTTACTCTTACACTACCGTCGTCCACGGCAAACATTCTCAGTCTCCGTACCATCGCCATCCGAATAGATGAGGCTCCCTCTTTAAGCCCATTCCTGAGAATGCCCGTGTACCTCATGGTTCCACGTTTCCCCCCTCAGTATTCCTTCTTTTACTTCTTTTACTCGAATGAGAAGGATCTCGGTGCATTGTTCAAGACGACCTAAGCTGCTCTTTAAACTGCTCCCGGGAAGCGTCTGCCGCTGTAAGACATGCTGGTTTTCTAAAACGAGTATTTGGCAAGTTTGAACCAATGCTGTTCCCACGATTGTTATCAGCCTACATTCAACCCCACACAGAGCACGCTATTTAAGAATAGAATCCATGGCTGCAACGTGATTAAAAGATTCCGGAACGTTCACAAAGAATGGCTACCAAAATGGTCAAAGGACTGCATTCCAAGAGTTATGCGGAAAGACTGGAATCACTGCAACCGTACTCCACGTAGTATCGCTGCATTCGAGATTTGATCTTGGTATACCAAATAATGCAGAACCCAGACCACCCACGTCGTCCACTCCTTTCCTTGTCACCCAACACTCACCTTCGGGGGCACTCATTCAAATTAGTGCTCCAAAAATGCCGACTAGAATGTCGGCGTCATTTATTCGCCCTCAGAGTGTGCATTACTTGGAATTCTCTACCACCACACGTTGTCTGTGAGCTCACAATTGATTCATTCAAGCACAAACTGGATGAAGCTTTGAAAAGTCTTAAATTTCAACATCCGTAGAAGCGCACGAAAAAAGGACAAGTTGTGATATTCATCTACTTTGTATGAACTGTGAACCGATTCATCTGGGCCAAATCCTATGGGACTAGAAAAGCAACCGCTTGTAAGTATTTCCCATAATAAAACTTTGACTTTGACTTTCCTTGAACTCTAACTCAATAAATGCATTCACTGATGATGTCTCCACAGCGTTATCTGGATTCCATCCCACCGAGGTCCCCAAACTTGAGCATTCTTTAGAATTATCCACTTGGTTTCTTCCTTACAAAGTGTCGCCACATTTTTCATGCCCTCTCGTGCTGCGCTAACGATCGATTTTTTTCACTCCGCGCCAAACGGTTCATCACGCCAAACGACCGTAATCCATGGTACAATCAGAATATCGCAATTATATATGGGCTGGAGCTGCGTCCCTTGCTCGCTATCTCTGCTTAACCGCATTCATTGGGCACATCAATAAATCGCTAGCCTACCGTTAAGCGCTTGCTATTCCAAATTCTTTTATCACTATTACTTACAAAGCCAATCAGTCATCCCTATCAAGTGTCTGTTTTAAGATCCTACAGGGCTGGATTCCAGTCTTCCCGTTTCCAGCCGAACAATAAAACATCCTCCCATTGTCCGCCGCTTCCCCTACTTACAATCTTCACCTATTCAAAACAGTAATCAACATCATCGTATATCTTCGAATAATCTGTTTAGGCCTTTAATCATCAATCGCTTTATTTGTGTGGCAAAAGAAGTTTGCATAAATCTCACAAACATAATAATTACAGTTTGGATCAGTAAAACTCACTTGAATTTGTTTTTTCACCGTTTGACACAGGTCGGAATCGAACCAACGTAGCACTTCACTGTGACCACCAAATTTCGAAGGTATATAGTTCTGATTAATCCATAAATCCATGCAAATCATACACTCCAGAATATAAAGGCTTTCCGTACGAGAGGACCAATCCGGTTCCCGGAAAACGTTCAAAGTTACCGATTTAATCACCTCAGAACAATTGTGTGGCTGGTGCAAACAAGCATCCAGACATGAGCCTACAAATAGCGGTACGAAACACGATCTGGTGGTGATGTGTAAACGACCAGTCTGGACAGGCTTCAGTAATTCTGCAATACTGGTGGTTAAGTCTGCGTTGTCACCTGTTGCTGGGCTCAGTGTGTACCGATGGAAAATTATGGACAGCGCACGCAATATCAGTTTCCAGTCGGACGAATCAGCAATAGTGTGCAAGTTACCTTCACAAGGTATAGTCGGGTCTGTGGTCGAAGTGAACAGTGCCGAATGTATTGAGAGCAACAAAAACGCTGTGATCGGGTTTCGGTCGAAGTTGCAATGAACCAGTTTCTGCCACACCTCCATTAGTTCGGTTTTGGCCTCATTCATGAGTGGTTTGTTGGACAAATTAATTGCACAACCAGGTAGATGTAGCCGAGTCACAAGATCTATGCACCAGGAGACAACCGGATCGCTCACGGAAGATAGCTCCACTTGGTCCATGGGACCTTGGCTACGAGATCGCGTGGTCACCGATGAACGACGAGCATTGCTCATAAACGGTAGGCGTGAACGCTGACGACTCTGATGATCAACATCTGATTCTTCGTTTGGCGGTGGTTCCATGGATAACCGACGGTAGCCTAAGGTGGTCAGTAAAAGACCGGTAGCAGTCGATGCGGTGGATTTAGTTGAGCTTAAAAACTGCTCCACCTGTAAAAGAAAAACTATTGGAAATTAAAATGACTAGAAAGCATAATTCGCATCTGTTTTATGATGGGACGTGCAAAGGTCACGTGATGAGTACCGACGAGAATGGACCACCATCCATTATTGAGGTAGTAAACAGGATAATATCACACTATTAGGACGGGAAAACTATCTGTGTTCGAATTTATCACAGCAACAGATTTACCATTTTTTGACTTTAAACAACGATGTACCCCCATACCAAGTCATGCGGGAAAACTATATTTTCCAGGCTGAGTATCACTTATCTTCGGTGAGAAGTTTTCAAAGTAGCCATTATAACAAAGGTCTGGAGCACAATAGGACATGAAGAAAAAGTTCTTATTTGAATTTGTCATCTGATCAAGTGAAAACAGAGAGGTTTCAACGACCCTTCAAGCGATTCGACCTGTCTGATGTATGTGAGATTTGGATAGCAATTCCACGGGAATTGTTTGGTACGAAAATGGAAATTCAAATAGAATAATTTGAACGATATTCGAGCAGTACTGGAATACTTCAGAAACTAGAACTGTTTAATTCCGTGCTGCGCACTTCACCCTAGTCTCAGTTCATACTTTTCTCTGTGCTAAAAATATTAATGATGGTGTATGTGTATGTGGGGGAGGGGGGGGCAGTTAGAAGCAGAAACCAAAAAACGTTCCACTGACGACTTTACCTATCCTGATAACCGTGGGTTCCGAAGCTCGGCAGCTAACTGTGAGAGTTGGAAGTAATGTGGAGTGTTGTAGATCGGGATGCGGATGTTGGTGTTGGTGTGTTCTTTGAGCTGGAGGTGTTATTCGCAGACATTTCGTAGCCAGGCTAGGCAACATCATCAGTGCTACTTCCCCGTTTCTCTCTCGTGCAACGACTCAAGTTGTTGTGTTTTCGGCTTGTAATCTGACCGATAATCCAGTAAGGAGTATTTGGAACAAAGTGAAACTAGGACAGTCAAAATAAAGATCCACAAATCAAATGAACTAGATCTCAGGAGAAATGGAGTGGATGCGTGATTGGCTCTATTCACTTAACTCAGCTATATCATCAATCACGGTTTGCAGTGATTAAATGAGTTAGTCACGAAGCCCTCAACCAGAAAGCCCAATGCAGTCTATGTAACCGAGTCACTTGATTAGGATTTTCCAATCCTCGATCTAGGTCTTATTCTGATTAATGTTTATCTTCTTTCACTCACTACCTACCTCGGCAAGCATCATACGGTGAGGAGGCTCATTTGGTGGCATGCATAACACATGCCATAGTCACCACAATCTATGGAGACCAAGCCCATAAGCGACCATCATTACGTAAAGCTCTCCGCCTAGCCTCGGCGTTCCTTATCAGGCTGTTGTCCCATGAGAATTGTGCTGCGTCGGTAGACACACCACCAACAGACTATAGTTGTGATTCTGACCTACAGGAGGATCCAACCAGCAGTCCAGCGTCAGGATATGATAACAACAACAAGACAACAAAAATGATTT